ACCCTTTGATGTACTCTGTTTAGTGTTTCATCCTTTTACTACCTTTTTGAATACTGTTTTCCTTCATTTGCCTTCGCTCTCAGTGATATTTTTCTACCGTATTTCCTTCATTAAAATGGCCATGACGTGGCAATTACCATTTAGCCTCCCCTCGAAACCGAATCATCTTCAAGAAGCCTAATATATCACTGTCTTACACCCTCATATGTGTCAAGAAGAAACTATTTATAATACATAACTATTTCCTATTTCTGTTCTGTTTTTGTATCTTCAACTTGGTTACCACTCAAAACAACTAGAAATGCTGCTGAAACAAGCACCAGAGACTCGCTGATTTATGGGGCGACAGGTGATATGCCTCATTATTACAACCAGCTGTACACTTTGTGAGTAACCACGGCCACTCATGGGTAATAATCGTCCAGCAGCCGTCGCTTTGACAATGTTTTATTTATAATCCTATTTCGTATTATTGCCCTTTTCAAGTCATTTTCTATGAGAGTATAGTAGTAGCGGAGAAAAAGCACCATGCCTTCCCTCCAGACCCTGATCTACCGTACCGCTGGTTCTCTGTCCATACGGGGTCGGTAATTTGAAAAGTAGGTATGAGGGTAGTTACGGTAGGATGGAACACTAGGTTGAGTGCACGGTGCCCTGAACCTCTTGGCGCTGAGCCAGAACGGAGGCTCTATGATCCATAGGAATGGGATCCGTAGCTTAGCTCCAAAGAATCAAACATCACCGATCAGCGATCTTCCCCCTTCTGATCAAGTTTAATGCCATTTGACGGCTTTTCTATCAGAAACATGTGCTGCTGTCACAAATTCTTTGAAATTTGATACATTTTTGAGAGAGAAACATTTGGTGGTCTGACTGAATCATCCATCTTCGTAGATATTCCTGTCGTGGTTATGATTGTAAAAAAGCGGTGGACGTTTCCCAGAAAGAAAAGCTTTCGTTGAATAGTCAACGCCCATTAGCGGCAACTGCTCTTGCTCTTGCTTCACGCGACTAATGGATTTTTTATAATCTTTTTCTGAGTCTTCTCAAAGCTTTTTTCAGCCAGTTTTGGCAGCCTGCCAAGAGCTTCGTTTCTTGTCTTTTGTGTAGTAAAGTTATTGTGTTGATATTTGCAGGGGTGGTGGGGGAGGAGAGGAGAGGGCTAAACGATGACTTGCGGTAGCTAGTTGTTGTACTCTCAGTCCTTATTATTCTCCTTATCGTCCCAGTCGAAACTGGTAGTATTTAACTAACCCCGGAGGACTGATAAGCTTGGTTACCTTGGGTGAGTCTGGGATTCGAACTGCGGACTATACTTGTGTGGTAGTGCACCATATGCCAGTACACTACAACCGCCCTTGAATCAATAAGATAAGATTTAGCTCGTCAGATGTGGATCGTCAGACCAGCTCCCCTTCATTTTGTATTGAGAAATGGTACGTATACCTTTATTTATGCATTTTCCTCTTTACCATTACTCGAGTTAGTTTTTGAAGCGTAAGGCATCAGAAAGGGCGACCAAGGCTCGCATCTCATGGGAAAAAAACAGGAGGCAGCGCTGCTTTGCTAGGGATCCCTTATTTCACGCTTGTCTATTTTTAGCTTTCCAATGAGGGATCGAGGTAGTTCTAAAGAATATACTCTTTCTAGAATTGCCTAGCTCATTAAATTGAGGTAGAAGTCGAATACGTGGCGCAATTTTAAGAGAGTCGGCAGAAGCCGTGCAGTTCTGCTGAGTTCCTCTTATGCCTTTCAAATGCCAATTTTGCAAAACGCAAAAAGTGCAAAATTGCAAAAAAAAAATGTGAATGATATAATACTTCTGCTGCTAAATTTAATGTTTGATAACAGAAAAAGAATTGGGCGGAGCTAAAAGCTTTTCTATTGAGATCATCCGGCAAAGGAGACTCTTCAATGTCTCCACCACTCATACAGCTGAAGCTCAAGGCTTCTAACATGCAATCTTATGTTGCAGAGTTTTCCTAGAAGCCATTTTGCAGCCAAGTGTCTTACAAAAACTTATGCACGCACTTTTAGCATGTACAAGTTAATGTAATGACGGAATCACCATTAAATCTGACCTGGCTGCTCGTCAGAATTATTAAGAAATTCCGAGAAAATCGAATGAAAGTGAAGCTTTCCTTGAGTGTTCGACGCTCTTTTGACTTTTTTGTTCTGAATTACTCCCGCTACTTACTGGAAGGAGTATCTCCTGCAAGTTGATAACGAGAACTGAACATGTTCTCTAGCAGGCGAAAGTGGTGAACAGTGGCAAGTGGCTTACTGTCCCACACGCATAGTCACGGGTTCGAGTCCCGCATTGTTATCCGCCCAGGGCAACCAAGCCTTCCATTTCTCCGGGGTTGGCTAATAGGTACTAAAGTCGTCCGGAAAGATAAAAACACGGACTCGTAGATTGGCTGACCACCGCAAGTCATTGTGTAGACCACATATGCATTCAATACGCCACTGCGATTCTGAATGGAAGTCGAATGCAGGGCGCATCCATCAGGCGAGCTTGATTAACGCTGGAAAACTTTATCCATTTAGGCTTTATGGTCTCGGGCAAAAGCTCTTGGCAAGAGTTTTTTCCAAACGATAGTTCTCCTGAAGTGTTTCTTATTTTGATAAAACTATAGAATAGCGATGGAGGACTACGGCAGCGGTCCTGCTGACATTATATTTTTTTGTGATTGAGGGTCTCTTGAACCATGATTCTTAGCTTAATTTTTTCTTACAAATCCAACTTTTCCTTCCTTAATGGCCCTAGCAAAGTAAAACTGTTACATACTGGTACACTGATAGTACTGTTTGGCGTGGTTCTTCTGACATTAAAAATAGATCGTTTTGTTTTCTTTTGTGATAATTTTTATCTAAAATTTTTTTGACTATGAATCAAAAATTGAATAAACAAATCGGATTAATCTGGTGCAGTCACCTTCAAGCTCACCTGTTGAGAAATAAACTTTCTAGAGCAATAACCTTCTATTTTTTACTTTTAACAATATTCTGTTGACAATATTTTTTTCAGGTTAGACAAATGTAAGCGTTTGGAAAAATTATTAAATCAATTCTTCCTTTCCTTTTGTTTTTTACATATTCCACATATTTTGGTTTGTTTCACATCTATTACCGTAAGAAGTATAGAAAATTTGATCTTTTGGATTTAGATTTCTTCAAACTCGAATAGTTAGAACGGAGAGTGTTCAAACACATTATCTTCCGCGGAAATTTTGAACGCGCCCCTTTGAAGTTCCAATCTGCAAAGTCCATTAGTTCTTTTTTCAGGATCTTTTGTCCTTAGGTTATTACAGCTCATGTTGATATATCCACTTGATAACCTCTTAATTAGCTATCAGCAATTAATTTATTGAAACAATTCATACAACTCGTTCTACCATATCATTTCCCTCCATATTTACTTCGTTGATGTTGTTTAGAGACTACCAAGGGCTATTTCTAGCTTCAAGGGAGCAAAAGTAGCGGTCCGGCAAAGTGCCGGATATCCGGACTCGCCCAGGTTGACTAAGCCTCCATTCTGCGGATTTACTCATTCTCATTACTTTTTAGTGGAGAACCTGATTTGAGCTGTCGACTCGCCTCCGTAAGTATTTGTATAACTGATTACAAATTCATGTATCTCTTGTAATCTGGAGAGAAGTCTAATGCATGGCGTGTCTCTGGATCGCTGACTTATGTCGGTTTCGCCTCCTTTTGTTCAGCATTCGACGCAGCGATTTTTAGTCAGAAGTTCCTTCCAAATGTTCCCAGAGGTGCTCCGATGTACACATTAGTCACCCCCAGTTTCTAACACCTGCTGGCAGCCGATTCCGCAAACAACTGTCTCATGTCCGAGCCCGATCATTGTCTGCCTACCAGGTGTTATCACCAGACTCTGACCTCGTGATGCCTAGTGAAAACACCCTTTGACTAGCAAGTCGAACTTCGAAAATCCAGAACCAATCGCCAGCAAAACTGAAAGAATGGAAGTGTACAAGAAAGGACAAAATATTTGGCATTGGCCGTGCCCTACAGAATATACGCCATGCACTGAACTTCTCTTCGGAATATCCGATCTATTTGAATCCGCACTTGGCTCGAAGAATCACGTCGGAGTTCAGTTCGAAAGCCTCGCCTTTCTAAACTAGACTAGTCCTAGTACCAGATGCCACATGGGGATCCGCCCAACCTCAGGGCTGTGATGATGAGAGTGGTATCATTCGTCATCAACCAAATGCACCGTCAAGAAAGGACGCCCGCACTTCACTGTCTTGAGATATGGACTTAAATTTTTACCAGAGGGTAGTAGCGGAATCTTGTTAAGTATTGGTGTAGTGGTAAGTGATGCACTTCACACACACACATGTTCACAGGTTCAAATCCCCGATCCATATCCGCCTAAGTCAGTCAAGTCTTCCATCTCTTCGGGGTCGGGTAATTGTCAACAGATTTGTCTGGGAGAATAGAAGCACTGACTTGCACATCGGCTGGCCAAGGCAAGTCATTGTATATATTCCACATATGCATTCAATACGTCACTACGATTCTGAAAGGACGGCAAATCCTGGGGATCATCTCTCAGCCGGGACTGATTAACGATCCAATACTTTATCCTCTAGCCAGATTACTCTATTGTGGAGTTGGTGTAATTGTTATTGGGTCAGAAGGTCCTGAAGCTCAGGTTATTCATCTACCCAGACCCATAAAAAGCTAAGTTAGTCTGGGCGAGTACCAATATGAAATTTAATTTCAGGATCAGACATGAAATGGCTATCGGCACCATTTATCAATCTATATGTCTATTTACTTTGAAAAATATAAACAATATTCTTCGATCACAGCTTGAGTACACATTTCTCGACACTAGGAAAACAAATTAATAAATAACCTGAGTGTAATGGGGTCTGCACCGGTGTTTTCTTTCTCGAAGAGTGATTTCTGACGCATCCATGAGGTTTCCTCTACAGTGACTCTACGAAATCGGTCCTTTTCAGAAATACATGGACTTCGATCCACGTGGAAAGAAGTGGGATTGCTGTTGCTGCAGATTGCCAACTGGTCTGCAGATTCTGGCCACTGTTGAAGCAGTGGTCGCTGTCATCGTCGCTATCATCGCCACCATTCATGTGACCACTGCCGTTGAGGTACGTGCACTGCATTAGTTTTTGGATTCAGGCAACATCACAAGGTCACATGTCAATTCAAATGAAAAGTACATGATTGAAGTCAGGTGTCAAGGAATGTGATTGTAATGCTTCCTTTGATCCCCTCCAATTGGCCCCGTTACCAGATACCTGCACGTTCCCCTAGGTTATGTTTCTGAATTCAGAAAAGTATTCATCGGGAGTTTTAGCCCTGATGCGAAGAGTATTCTGCCCCGTCTCCATTGTGTTAGCCACGTCGTTATTGTTTAGAAGGCACTCTTTACGCAACTAATTCTGGCCGCGCCCCTCAAAGCTGCCCACAGCAGAAGTCCTGCTTTTCAAAGACGTTTCACACTTGAACAAAATCTCCAAACTAGTCCTCCACATACTGCTCGACGAGTTTGAAGTAACGTACATAAAATACTGCGGAATCGGGCCTCCGTCGACGGTAGCTTTAAACTGAGAAAGGAGAACTTCCAGAAGAGCGAGCCTGTCTATTTACAAGAAGCAACTTGGATCCTCCGAAGCAAAGGCCAACAAAAAAATTTTAAGTCATCGTCATTGAGTTAAGATTTGAATAATACCAACCACAAACACATTTGAAATTCTCTTTACTTCTTAACAAATATATTTTTAAATTATTAGACACAAATATCAATGAAATACAAATACATCGAGACGATAATCGGCTCAGTGAAACGAGGAATGAAGCCCGATGGCCATGGAGCTTGTCCTTCGGTCAGGTTCCTGCACGTATTTCCAGCTCATAACAACTGAGCACGGCAGAGCATCCAGAACATGAAGGAACCACCCGATCGGCCTCTGAAAAGGCACAAATCCTTAATTTACTATCGAGAACTGTCCATTAATCAATGAGTAATCAATGAGCAATTTCTGGATGTCAGCTAAGAGATTGAGTCGAATATAGTGATTACTGAAAGAGCAGACCAAATAACTTAATCTGCAGATGTTCCCTATCTTGAAAAGTAAGTGGAAAGTGAAAAGTAAAGTAGAAATAAGTGCTAGCTTTTATGGCCAGAACTGCATGAACAGGTACCTTTTGGGGTTAGGGGTAGAGTTTAGGAGCCTGGAGCAGTGAAGAGCCAATTGAGATCCTTCAAAGAAGTTTGAAGAGTTCACGACAGTACAGTCAACTGTCTACCTTTGCTTTGCCTTTTTCTTTGCTCGGCACTTCAACGAGGCGAATGGGTCACTGAAATTAATCCATTATTACTTATTCAATTTGGATGGTCACGGAAACATGAATAAAGTAATTGTTATGGAAGTTAGGTAGATCATTAGTATATGCCTTTACGATAGAAACCTTTTGTTCGCTCGTCGATTATTCGTCGTCAAAGTCGTTTAGGATGATAAACCCCCTCCCCCCTTATTTACCACTGCCGATAGTCCCCGAAACCATGGCGTATACAAAAGCTGTGTCCAACCTAATCTACATTTCATCATTGAAAGAGTGCACGGCGCACCTCAACTACATGAATGCACCATTTTCTTTCCCATCGGGCTATCGTCGGCTCCAATTATTCCTGGCTACCATTAATCAGAGTCCTGTAACACTATTTTGGTAAAGCCCCGGGATCATACCATTCCCCACGAATTCGTTAGCTGGATACTTATAAACCTGACCGATTCTGGTCTTCCAGTACACCCACATGATGGCGTGCCCACGGTCTCTCTGGCGCTTTAGGACCATTTCCACAAAAACCAACAATTTTAATCGATATCAATCGGCATCACCAGAATAGCTCCACTAAAATCTTCCATTAATGTAGAGGTTCGATTGAAACCTTACGTCAAAATGTATCGAATCTATTTGTCAATTATAAATGCAATTAGGCAATTTCGCAAATAGATGACCGGCTATGTATAATCTACAATGAAACCTACTGTATATAAGCGATTTTTTTCTCGAATAATCACCCGATCAAGATTGGTTATAATGACTAAAACAGACTTACAAACAGTCTCTTTTGCGAAAAATCTGATAAGATCGAGGCGTTCGAGTTTGCTGATAGGCGATGACTATTAAGTGTAGCATAACAGTATGCAGTGTTGAAGAAAAAGCGCAGAATGAGTGGCGATTCAGCTGGGACCGCCCTCTTCTTGTTAGCAGACGTTGAGTACAACACCGAGTACAATCTATTAAACAGCTGTTTCGACACCCATCACAACATGTTCTTCGTGAGTGAACATCTTGAACCTCAGACTGCACTTTCTACTTTTACTCTTTGCTCGCGAATATTCGCTGAAGATCATGTGAAGGACAAAAAGGATAAAAAAACAAAAAAAAACAGCACAAAAGAC